AAAAAAAAAGGAAGACCAGAGAGTAAATGCATTTGGTGTATTCTCGAATAATTTTGAATACACTGACTGCCAGAACAAACAAATCTATCTAGAAAGAGTTGGAATTCTCCTTAGAAGGATTGCAAAATTTTATATCACTTATTTTTGGACCAGAGGACATCATGCTTTGTAAAGCAGAGGGGCAGTTATAGAGAAGGACCCTCAGCAAAGGGGGCTGACACAATGACTGCAACACTGAGCCCACACACAGCAATTGGCCATGTTCTATTTTTGAACCTGGGCTCACTATGAATCAGAACCAACTGACAAGGACCTAATGAATTAACTGGATATAGTGAAATGCAGAGCACCAAAGTCAAGATCCTAAAAGTAAACGGGGGCAAAAAGAACACACTTAGTTTTGCAACTTACTTTACGTATTTGACTATATATAGCAGCCCACAATATTCCATTTCCTGCCAAATGTTATGAAAACCAATAGAATCATCCTCCTTGGCTCCTTACTTGTGTTTATACCTTATCAGTTTTAGAGTAATACACAAAGTATGGTGTAACATGGGATTAAAAAGCATCATTCATTTGGGAGTTTGAATTGTTAGACTATCTCCAAAAACATGAGATTTTCATTTAAAAAGACAAAATAGATAATGACCATTGACAGTAGGATGTCAAACACATAACAGTTCATTGCAAAATTTCTATAGGTGCTTCCTAAAATCTGAAAAGCATTTCAAATTTGACCTTTTTCGTCCTTCAATATACCTAAGACTTCCTGTCACTAGAACTTCCTCAATAAAAGAATCCAAAAGTTTGTAGTACTAAAATCAAGCCGAGAAGTTGCTCACAAGAAAGAAAATTAGCACACAGTTCTAAATTACTTACTAGTCATTTCTAGGGAAAAAATAATTTCAATTGAATTTCCTCCCAAAGACATAAAATTGGATCCATTAGAGTTTTAATGTAGAAGTTGATACTTTGGGTATATATGGTATATTAATATGCCTAAACACAAAATTCAGTATTTTGAAAACATTATTTTTATCAGGTAAGTAGGTAACTACTTAAAATTTGAAATTGCATTTACCAGTTCAGTTTTCAGATAGAAGTCTTTGAAAAAAGAAGGAAAAAAAAAGTTCATAAATCAGTTGATTTTGCCAAACCATCTTACCTGCTACTGTCTTAAAACTACATGGTTTCTATAGTCTAAAGGTGATTTTTAGTGAGGAACAAGAATAATGTGGTGCCAAGATAAAGAACCATTATGCCACTTATCCCTGGTGGTTCTTGGAAGGCCTCATGAAAATGAACAATAGTCTGTGTAATTCGGTGTATATTTACTCAACTCTTATTTAATCCACAAGAACACAATACACTAAAAAAGAAATCGAAGGCTTGTCTTATTTCACTCTATCCCTCACTCTGAAATTAATGAATCACTCCAACTCCTGCTCCAAAGTCTAGAAGCTTATTTTCTAACATATCCTACAAGAATATTTTGTTTGAAGCAAACAGGCCATTATTTTAAAAAGAATCATTTATTGTATATTGTTAAAGAGGAGGGTTAATTGGTACAGTACTATGAATACTCTTATTCTTGAAAAACTAAACATATATGTATAAAAATAGTGCAGAATGAGTATGTAAAAATACAAAAAATAAGCTTACTTTATAATGTTCCCTGTACACCTGTATTAATGTTCTCTTGTGTCTTCATAAACTTATGGCTAGTTCCTTTTCTACATAATTGATGACTTCTTACAAATAATGAACATATTTTCCATAAATTAATTAGTTTTAGATTTTCATTCAACGTAGCTCATCGGTTAAAATAATCAACTGAATGTAGCATTGCAAAGAGCCCAGTTAGACAAAAATACATAAGTTTTTCATATTCTTCCAATTACAGGAGCCCACTCTATGAAAATTTCAATTTAGTATAAATATGCAGTTTAGTATAAAAATGCAGTTATATGGACTAAATATAAGGTGATGATTTAAAAATGCCCACCCTGATCAGTGTTTTAAGTAAGACTTCAGTAAGTAATATTATTTTTAGTCAGATGTTATCTGGTGAAATAATCATTTAAAGTGGAGAAAAGTGAACAAGCTTAAAAAATGTGCAACACTAAGTTGTCTCATCACCTTTAGGTTTAATTATAAATTAGGTATTTAGAAGCGAGTTATTCCTTCACATGTTATTTCATTTATCAGGAAAGAAACAGTTTGTCATTTTTTTTCAGGGCAACTGTATCTAAGAGAAATTGCTGCCTTAAAAAGAATTAGAATTTTGTTTTGCACACAATATATTTAAAAATACATTGCACCAATGGACAAGTTTCTGTAAATTGCTCCCATAGCTAATTAACAGGGACACATTATAGGAATATATTCTTATACCCATAATTTGTCAAAGTTAAAATTTGTTACATCACAACATACATCCAAAAATTTATTCCACATTATTCAAAAATCCCACCTTAATATAACAAAATAAAAATCTGTGAATATAAGACATTCAAAACAGTATTTGTAGGAAGCCAAAGTCCAACAATGACATATGAAAAAAGGTGTTACTTCATTAGAAAGGTTCATAGTCTTTAAAACTGTAGTGCTAACACATTAAAAATACTTAATTGCTTATCAAAATTTTTTTTCTGGCAGCTAAATGCTATTTTTTTTTAAAAAAAGGTTAAGTGCTGAAGGGAATAAGAATGCAGCAGAAAATTACAGGAGCCCATATGTTTTCTTAAATTTAATTTGTTCATATATAAGGTTTTTTTATATACAATCAGTATGCATTGTAACAGTTTATATTAAAAGTCAATCAAGTTTATCTAAAAGGTTACCTGGCTGCATAGGACATTTGACATTAGTATTGCCACAGGAAAAGGAAAACAAGTGGATTTACAATAACTTTTGGCTGTTTTGGATTCTGAGTATTCGTACATCTACCCTTTAAACTAAATGCATCTGAAAAAAGATGTTTCCAGAGCATGCAGTTTAAATATTACATATAATATCTCACCATTTTATTACTACACAGTATGACTAAAAAAAGGGGGGGTTGTGGCATGTATCTAATAAAATATTCAATATAAAAAGAGGACCAATGGAGTTATGTGGCCCTTTTCCTCACTTTTTTTTTTACATTCTAAACAATGATTCCATCAAGACATATCATTAAAAAGTGTTATTACACTGATTTTTTTTCTTTAAGTGATAAGAAGGCCTGAGTTGGTAGGGAAAGGAACAGTCAAAAAAAGCCTGAGAAGGGTAGGGGAGTAAGGAAAGCTCATTTATTCTATTTACAATAATTTACAGTCTTTTTGTTTGTAAAAATGCATAATAATAGATCACAAACAGAAAATTCCTGGCTATTTTACAGATATAAGTACAGAATTTAAATATTCAAGCTTGTGGTGAAAGCGGCAAGGTGGTCGCAGTGTACAATGTAAACAAGTAGCTTTGGAAAGTGAACAAAGTCCTTGAGTGTTTTTTCTTTATTAAGAAAAGAACTCTCTTTTATTCCTTCCTGAAACATGATCACAGGTCAAAGTGTACAGTTCATATACAAACATAATTTAAATGGAGGTCAGTCTAAAATTGCTGACTTAAAAACAGTTTCATCCAGCCTATACGGAAGGGCAGTGTTGAGGTCCCTGTAATAGTAAACATTTTCCATTTCTTTAAAAAATAAAAAAGGAAAAAAAGGAAAAATGTACTACATTTGTAGCACAGTGCAGCATAATCTTTAAATATAAAAATATTTTCTCTTCTATTGGGATAATAGACCTTGCATCCTGGAAAGAAGTAACAATACTGCTACTGATAGAAGATCTGTTTATATCTTTCAAGTCATGTAAGGCAATTACTGTGTTGGTTTATGACATATGGCTAAAAGAAAAGTCCAGAAAGATGAAGTACCAGTTTCTGTTATGTTTTCCGACTACTCCAGGTATGTTCCGGAGTACTTTTGTGTTCAACTGAGTGTTCAAATGGAGATCTGGAGCCATAAGGAGACCTTTGATCGAGTGGTGACCTAGGGCCACTACTAGAAGCTCTGTGGTCCATTTGCCAATCTGAATGATACCTATAATCCCTGGCTGATTTATGATGTGTATATTCAGAACTTGATCGGTGGTCTGAATGTAACCGATGATCAGAATGAGCTCTATCTTTTAAACTTCCTTCCAAATTTGACCTGTGATCTCTACTCCTGTGATCATCCAGTTTTCTGTGTTTCTCTCTATCGTTGTAGTACCTAATAAGAGAGAAATGAGGAATTTCAGATTAATTATTAATAATACAAATTAAAAGGTTTGGAAAAAAAATTAAAGCAAAACACAAAAGTCCATAAATAAACCTACAAACCACTGGAAAGTATCTGCTTGATTCATAAACCTATCAAAGTGAACGACACAGAATAAGCACCTCTGGTGGCATCCATTTTCACATGCCCATATGAAAGTAGCTGCAATATTTTTTCTATTAAAAATTTCCTTGATTTTGACTAGCTCTAAGACATGACTGAAATCATTTAGAGATTACACATATAAACAAATATGGCAGCTTATTGGGGTCTCTAAAATGCTTGCAGCTTGTGGCGTCTTCAAATAAAATACAGAGAACATCAGTTAATAGTTTGTTGTTGACAAAAGGCGCCCATTATAAACTAATAGTGTGTTCTATGTCTGTTCTTTCAACTGTTCTGTAACTAACTGTAGCACTCAGTGTGCCACAGTGCTTCCCAGGAAGAAGAAACTACTGCAGAAACACAGAATTTGAACAAAAGTCTTATTCTTCGTTCCCAAGTTTGTTTTTAGTAACCATCAACTAACAAAAATATTTCTTTACAATAATTTCATAAAAGATATTCTGCCATTAATGTTTTCTAGTTACTTAGTATTCAAATGCTTTATAAAACTACCGCTACCCTATATACCCTCCTGCATACCATACAACCCAGATTTCAAATTCAGTTTAGCCTCAATGATATGTGTTCACATAAATTATTTTTCCCTCCTGGGCTAGAATTTTCCATACCAAATTTTAACCAGATCCTGCTGAGGTTTGAGCAGATATTCTCCAAAATTCTCAATAATGAAACTAAAAGTACTCTAGTTTCACATTAGACTTATTCTGACTAAAGATTGAATTGCTAATGGGTCAAACAGATAGCAAACACAACCAAAAGGAATAAAGACATGTATAAAACGAATTTCAAGTCACTGTCCCAGCTTTACCTGTCTTGTTTATAGTGATCCCAGTCCCGATGATCTTTGCCGTTACTGAAAGAAGAATAGGGTCGTTTCCTGGAATCACTCTTTTTGTAAGCATCTCCCTGGTGCCGGTCTTTATGGTGATCATGATACTGAGATATCAGGTGTCTATCAGATGAATAACTGTCCCTGCTGCTATCATCATGATTTGTAGTCTCCTTTAATCTTTCCACATCTGTTATAGAACAAGAGTCCAACTTTTATGAATGACTTTTTGGAAGTGGTAAAAGTAAATTTATGGCTAAATAACTTGTTTCACCTGTTACCAAAACAAAGCAAAACAAAAACTTGCTAAAACAAAGTAAAAGAAATGCACTCAAGACTCACTTCCATCGAGTCAATTCTGACTCACTATTTCACGATACAGGGCAGAATAGAACTGTCGTGTGCATTTCCTCCAAGGTTGGATGGAAATCTTTACAGCATCAAAACGCCTCATCTTTCTCCCTCAGAGGAGCCAAAGGTTGTAAACTGGTAAACTTTATCCACTCTAGATAATTAGCACCTCAACTGTTAAAGTATGCCAACTGGACTAAAGCATTTAAAATCAGTCTTAAAAAGCAGCACTAAGGCTTAGAAAGGGCCACTTGATCCTTAATAATCTATGGAAGTTTAAAAGGGCTATTTTTGATCAAAGATCTGATAACATATAGTTCTGTAGAAGTTTATCTTCTTAATATAAAGACACTTTTAAGTAAAAACAACCTAATCTATGTTATAACTTGATTTCCTTACATCAATCAAAAAGAGGGAGAAAAAGCTATTCCAAGTATTTTATCCTCCAAAAACAATTAGTGAGTAGGATACCTTACCTGGATTTTTAATCACTTGAGCATTCAAGTTGCTGTTTTGGTCACTGTTTTGCTAAAATTAAAGCACACATGTTAAGAACCTTTCATAAACGGCTTTAAATACGCTTACAAAGCATTGTTATTGTTTTTTTAATCTGATCCCAAATAATGTCTTCATGTAGGTTTTTGAGTGTCTAAATCTATCTTTAACTAACCTTTTTAGAGCACAATTGCAGTGCTCCAGAATTGTTTTATCTTATTTGAAAGAAGTTTAGACAAACAAGTTGCAAAAATAGTACTTTCCATGAAGAACGGTACTCAATTTGAATTTGTCTAACATTTTCTCAAAACTGGGTTCATATTCATTTTTGGCAAGAACACCATCGAAGTGATGTAACTTTCTCAATGTTTCATCACGGGGAGCTCATGATGTCAGTGTGTTTTTCTAGTGACAGTAACTTCAATGACTAGAACAATGTGGCAGCCAAGTTTTCCTTTACCCTGTATACGTTATTTTCCCCTGTGTAATAAATAAACATCTTGGAAGACATACTTTAAGATTATGCCAATTATCTCTTGGGTTTTATCTATTAATTTTAGTTTCCATCAGGTCTTATGTACAAGACATATGATTGTGGTAAGCTAATGGTGATATATCCTTAATTACATCTACATTTGTTAATGTAAATATTACTTATTAAATTCTTCTAAAATAATGTTTCATAATTTCAAAGAAATGTATTAAGAAAAAAATCCATTAATTTACCTGAGATTCCTGCCGTTTTTTAATAGCATGCTTATATAATTTGTGTAATTTTCTTGCATCAAATTCAGTAAACTTAGATACAAAAATCCACAAGTTTCTACAAGAAGAAAAGGATTATTAGTTTGATAGATTCCCTCCCCGCAGCCCTCCCCCCATTTGAGTTTCTTGTTTATAAAGAAACAAGACTTTCATATATCCCAAACCTTTATCGTCTTTGGTATGAAAATTAGTTTATCTAACTAATTTGAAATGTACCAGAGAATAAACTAAACCAGAAGGCAGTGCATCCTTGTGAATGAACGTGTGCATGTAAGGAACAATGCATTTGAAGCAGAGATGTGATCAGTCAATATGGATTAAGCTTCTGAAAGAATGGTCCTGTGTAATGCATTACAAAATTCTATGCCATTTTATCATGGGGAGGAGGAAAGCAACATTGTCAGATGCTATAAACCATCAACAGGCTTGGTATGTCTAGACTGCTTTTGCCTTCCAACTCAGGTATTCGTAATGGATCACAGTACTTTCATAATACTGAATTGAGATATAAGGTTTTAAAATCTTTTGGTACATCGTTTTTTGTAGCCACTGGCACTTGAGTTGAAGTCTTATCTACCATTGCTGAAGTTAAATATTAATATTTCCCCCCAGAAACTATTGTTGTATGTTGAAGTATAAATTTGTAAATTACAAAGGAATTAATAATTTTAGAAAAAAACTAGGCTGCAAAACAATTTTTAAAAGCTATCATCCAAACAAATATCTCAAAATTTGATGCTACAGTGATAATGTTCATGTCTCTTTGATGGGCTTCAAAATAAAATCAAAGTTTCATATATCACTCCCCCTAAATATTAAGCATGAACATCATTTACTAGAAGTTCCTATTTTTTCTTGTAATATGAAATTTATATTCAGTCAAATATACATTGTTTCTGCATTCAAGATTGTGTACATGAATATACTGTCTAACCAAAACCGATTTGATTCTTGTTTCTTCCCACTTGTTAATTTTTTTAATATACGTCTAAGTTCTCTTCCCAATGGATTACAGTATTGTAGGTAAGGTAAGCCATCATCAAAAATCTGACAACCAGATTCCACTGCCCTGTGTAATCAAATATTGAACTAAAGAATGAAAATAATTAATATAAAATTATGGAAGACAATGAAAAAAAATTAAAGTGTCTGTATTGTCATAAGGTTTTACATATAAAGAGGTCAGTCTGTAAACTGTTTTAAAAAGAGACCATTGTTAAATAGTGATCAAAATGTGTTTTCTTCCCTGCTTTGATTTACCACACCAAATCAAGTTTTAGCATCCTTGACACACTTCAATCATCTACCTTTTAAATGCTATTGAGTTCGAGGAACAAAACAAGCCTGAAGGGGCATGATCAGGGTTGTGGAATAGATGTGATAAGGTTCCTTAACCAAATTCTCACAGCAGTGCTTGCTGCCCTTACCAGATCAACTTTTGACAAAGAATGAGCATATACACTGTTGTGATGGGGAAAAAAAATTGTTGACAACTCTCTTGTTCTCTAATAGTTTTCCATTTTCTTAAAATAGCTTCCTAATAAGCCCCCGTGATCATCCTGTGTCCTGTGCCTTAACTTTCTGCAATAACCTCTCTACCTAAAATTTAACTGTCTCAATAGAGTCCCTCATAAATCACTATTCTGATTGGACCTCAAATTCAAGATTTATGCCTTGTTAGGATTCACTGCATTTTGTTGTCTTCATTAGCTCCATTCTTAAAGTACTAATGTAAAGATCAGCTCTTCTAACCAATCTCTAAGTAACTTATTTGGCATCATTCTGCTCAAAAGCTCAGAGTCCAAAATTACCCCTTAAAATTGAAAATTCCAAACCACGTAAGACCCCAACTTCAGTCGCTGCATATCAATGCTAATTCTATAGTCTTCTTCCATCAGCTCCTTTCACTGACTATGACCGTTTTCCCTCTGGATACACACCTTTATAGAGTGTTTCTGACCTTCCGTAAAACACTAGATTCACCTAAATAACTGTTGTTTTATGTGATACAGCATTCCCATGAACTTGTTGCAAAGCTCCAATAATTTGGGAAGACATTCATATGAGTTTTACTAAAAATCATTAGCGCTCATGTCAAAATGATTTTAATGGCATGAAAAGTACTTTGATTGCAAGCATACTATTGAGACTAAGACAAGTATATTACTGATAATTAAACAGCTATGAAACTCTACCCTTAATATCAATGTCAGCTTTTCATCACTGTAAATGGAAAACTTGTTAATTCATAAGTGATAACCATCCCATACCCCTATCTCTCCACCCTGACAACCACTAAAAAATTGTTATCTCAGGGGTGGGGGTGGGATGGCGGACACTAGAACAGACTGTGATGATACACATGCAACTCATTTTAAAGGCAATTTAACCTTGGATGTGTACGATGTGTGAATATTAGATCAAGAAAACTACTAATAAAAAAATAAGTCAAATTCGGCCAACGGTTATCACGGGTGAAGAAGAAAGAAGTGTTGTTTATGTTGATGGTGGTGGAATAATTTGGAAATAACTATCAATAATGGTTGTGCAGCACGAAGAGTATAATCAATGGCACTGAATTATACAAGTAAAAGTTGTGGAATTGGAGAATGTTCTTCTGTTGGGTATAGTTTTGCCACAATTGGGGGAAAAAAATCACACAAATAATAATAAGGAAGAAAATGTTCTAGAATTTAATATGGTGACAACTGAACAACTCTTCTTGCTATGATTAGACATGTGGATAAAGTGCTAAAAAAATTGCTTAAAAAAACGTTTTTGGATCTCTCTACACATGCTTCATACATTATCTGTCTTTTATCAGTTCTCTATACAACTATGACCAGAGGTCTTTGTCTTCTTGTATTTTGTATGTTTAATAAATGTAGCTTTGTTCTTTCAAGGGGGCTTTCAGCACTTCAATTAATTCCTAATACAGAAGAATTATTTCTTTGCTTCAGTCTTTTTTAAAAAATAATGTTGGAGTCAACATTCAGACTAGGCAAAAACAATTTTGTTTCTGGAATATTCTTCAGTTGATTTTTTTTTTTTTACTTTGCCTCTCTTTAAGGGAATCAGATATTCATTTCACAAATGACCACTGAGAAGAATTTGCAATAAATTTAAAAAATAAAATGTAAGTTGAATTTTAATGAGAAAGCTTTTATGAATTATATTTAAAAGCAGAGATAATTGTGCTATGGCGTATCATGGTGTGATTATGATGTAAATAAGTAACCATTTGTGAATAATTAATCACTCATAAATAAAAAGTTTCAAGATTAAAGGGGAAACAATTAAAATCATTTTCCCAGGTTACCTCTTTAAATAACATTTTACTATCTACACTTCAGAATGAGCAACACAAGCTAAAATACAAGTGAAAACTGTTATAAAATTAGAGTTACAGAAATACTTCTTGAAAAGCACCACTTACTTTCTCCACTGCTTAATTTGTTCAGGGTTTGTATATTCTTTCAGACACTCTGTGATATGGTCACCAATTTTTATTAAACACTGTCGAGTATGTTCCAGTTGTTCTCTTTCTGAAAGACCTTTCTCGGGCCTATCCAGTTGTTTCAAAGCTGCTTTAACAGGTCTCATTCTTTCTTTACACTTCAAGTGAGAAAGTAAGAATATAAACACATATAGAAAAAACTAAATTCAGTTAGGGTCTACCGCTTTCAATAATATCTAAGTAAACATATTGCAGTGATTGGTTCAAAATAAGCAATACATGTCACCTCACAGCTCTTAAATATTTTCTGTTGTTAGTTGCCACTAACTCAGGGTGACTCCATATTCGACAGAAGAATACATTGTCTATCAGGCAATTTTTCTCCATATGGTTTTCACTGGTTGATTTTGGAAAGTAGATCACCATCTTAGTCTGGAAGCTCCCCTGAAATTTGTTTCACATTACAGCAATATATAATCTTCCAATGAAAACAGAAAATGGCTCCATCTGAGGTGTACTGACTTGAAACTGAACCCAGTTCTCTCTGATGGAAGGTTATAAATTAGAATTCTGTTACTTAGCTATCATTTCAGTCTCTTTAAACACAGCACCCTCTCTATTCTTTTCAGAGTTTTAGAAAAGACAGCCTTTTACATTAAAATTTAAAACCAGATTTTGTGTTGATTTACCATATCAATCTTTGTGGTAATTTAAATAAAAACTTGGGTTTTTCTTCTTCCCAAAAAACTCTTCCTTATATGCTTTTGGAGAATATAAGAATTTTGTGTCCCTAAGTGACACAAATGGTTAAGCATTCAGCTACAAGCTGAAAGGTTGGCAGTTCAAACTCACCCCAGGAAGCTTCAGAACACAGGCCTGGAGATCTGCTTCTAACAGGTTCAGTCTTAAATCCCCATGGAGCAGATCTACTCTACACACACAGGTCACCATGCCATCAGAACTGACTCAATGGCAACTAACAAAAATAACTTCATATACGGTGGCATTCCATCCTAAGCATTCTTAAACACATATTAAAAGATGGCAAAGTATTTTCAGAGTACAATTTCGTACCTTATATTAATATACAAAATTAATGTTTAATAAATAGACTTTTATAACAAAATATACTGGTAAATAGTATCAAAATTAATATGTTGCTAGGGGCCAGAGTTGACTCCTGCCCACAGCAGCCCTGTGCACAACAGAATGAAACACTGCACAGTGCCGTGCCTTCCCCTTAACTCTTCCTAAGCCTGAGCCCGCTGATGCAGCCACTGTGTCCATCCCCCTCATTGAGGGCCTTCCCCTTTTTCACTGTTCCCTCCAATTTACCAAACATGATGCCCTTCCCTGGGGCCTCGTTTCTCCTGATAACATCTGAAGTAAGTGAGATAAAGTCTTGCCATCCTTGCTACTAAGGAGCACTCTGGCCTTATTCCTTCCAGTATCAAAATTAATATAGTTTAGATTTATAAGCTATTCTTCTAAACCTTTGGCTCAAAGTAATTAATACAGTTTTGGCCACTATTATATTTAATCGTGGATTCCATAAGAATTCTGTTCTACATTTCCTCCCTTTTCATCATTCTGTCATACTCTTTGATCAAAACATTCAGTGATAGTAGCTGGGCAACACTGAATTCTCTGCTCTAACAGCTAAGAGGCAACTATTAGTGAAGACAATTTGTCACACACTTCATCTCCTAGATCTCAGGCTTTTGCTCTAAGGGAACAGAGACCAACTGTTATGCCCTGGATAGCCAGTCGCATGCTTTTTAAGACTCTAGGCTCTGTGCAGCAAACTAGGAAAGTGGAAGAGAAGCACTCACTACATTAGGCCAATATAACTGGGATGCCCCAAGAAAACATGACCCTAAACTTCCAAACCAAGACACCAAATCCTATGACATGCAGCTACAATTTCTTCTTTTTCATTACTGTAAATGTATCTCACACTTTTGTTTAAAATATACTTAGAACTATCATAAGTATATACAGCTTTACTGACACTAATTATAATAATTAAACACTTGAGAAAGTTGAGTTGGCAAACATACAATGCAAACTTAAATCTATCGAATGCTGTAAGAAAATATGGGCTCAACTTTTGTTCATATTTCATTTTATTGTTATCTAATAAAGCATTGGTTCTGTGACTGACTGGAGAGAAAAAACAATCTACTTTTAAACACAGAGATTATAAGCATTATTATATACAGACAATAACTTCAGGAATTGAAAATTTAAAAATTCTAAAATAAGTCAAAATAAGTTCTATTCTAAGTGTTCTAAAATGAGGACAACTTTTAGGTTTTAATCCTATTGCTTTTATCAGTCTCAATCTCAGCATTATATTTATATTACAAATTCTAAACCATAAGCTCCAAAATATACAGCTGTATATGAATTAGTATTAAAGGTCTGAGTGTCTGCTACATACAATGCTAAAGGTCTTCTGATCCAGCTCTTCAGACTCTTCCGATATGGGAACTGGTTCACCGCTTGCAGTGATATGAACTGGGGCAGCTGATGCTGAACATTTTTTTGATCGCTCTTTGCTGTCAGACTTGCATTCACTCAACTGAAAACCAGAAAATAAAAACCAAATATCCAACAACACAAGCAAAATGATTAATGCTTCAAGAAAACAATTACCATCTGGTTTATTCCACAAGTCCTTATTCTGGTTGGATATGCTTTCACTATTTTACCCCTCCCTCAATTTTATTTGGGGAAACCAAAAAATAAAGCCACCTTTTATGTTATCCAAAGGATAAAACAAGTTTTCAGCTGTCCAAAGCTACTTTTATCTCTACTACTGAGTTAGTTTATTGTGCCAGCCTGGCCGATAAACACAAGTGGGGCTAATTGAAGGGCAGAGGGATAAATGACTCCGTGAGTCTCGCCTTCCAAGTTCTCGGGTCTCTTGCTTTGTGATGGTCGGACCAGGGTGAAGCTGCCTTAGCAGTGCCCTGCTTCGGCTGGCAAGGTTGACTTCCTGCAAGACATCCCCAAGGAGAAGCCACATGGACCTACCCTGATGCAGCCCTGGGTGTTGGAGCAGCCGTGCGGAGACCCTTGCCAGCGCTGAGATGCTTACACATTCACTGACTCGGGTTTCCTCCTGTAGTCAGCATCATTCCGTGTTTTGTGAGATGGAGGAGGACTTTGTGGATTGGTGTCGGACATATGGGTTAATGTTGGACTTGTGGGCTTGGGCAGCACTGGGTTGGGATGTTTTCTTGATGTGCACTTAACCTTTATATAAAACTCTCTCTTATACGTGAGATGCTGTGGATTTGTTTCTCTAAAGTACCCAGACTAACACACCTACTTAGGTCCTCATATCAACTCTTAAATACTCAAATTATTGAGACTAATTTGATCTGATAATTGGTTCTCTAGGGTGTAATCGTGCTTATTTTTTCATTTTCTAAATTTTACATTGTAATTTGCATACCTTTTCTTCCTTTATGTCTTTTTCTTTCTGCATAGCTTCTTTTACTTTTTCTCTTTTTTCTGTAAGTATTTTTTCCTTTATGTCTTTCTTATTCTCCTTTTCTTTTATCTCCCTTTTAAGTCCTCTTTTAGTTTCCTTTTCTTTTGTTTCCCCTTTTTCTTCTGGTTGCTTCTTAGAAATATCTGGCTCAGGCTTTTCTTCACTGTCTCTTTCTGTTTTAAGTTTTTTATTTGGATGTTTAATAGATGTGACCTCATCCTAGAAAGGGCAAGTATGGCCAATGTATTACTAACCAAATCTTGAAGACTAATATTTTTTCTTTTGGCATGAGTGTGGATTGCATGCATGTGGATTCTAAAATAAATAACCCAGAATCTCATTAACTACGGTACATGCAGTCTTTACCATCCTATAATTTAAGGTAAGTTAGTTTCATTCAAAATTGCTAATAAAATGAAAGGAGACAAAATTGGTTCAATTGGCAAAAGTGTGTATGTGTGTGAAATGTTTGTTTCTTTGCTCTATCCCTCTAGTAATATCTAGTACTTCTACCGGATAGGTATAATTCAGTTGTATACATGATACTACATAATGAGTCATAAAAGAAAGATTACTTCCTAAAAAGTCTTTCCTTATGCTCCCCTTGAAGTGCTAAATTTAATTACTTCCCATTGAAAAAGCTGTTTTCCTAAAACCAATTCCTACCTTATCATCCTCCTCCTCAGACTTCTCTGAGGCCAAAGGAGAAGAATCACTCTTTATTTCCTCTTTCACCTTTATAGATTTCGTTGCTTTATTCTTCTTAGCTCTTCCTTTTCTCCTCTTTGAGCTTCCCTAGAAAATAAGTATTTTTATTTTAACCAATTTATCAATTCTATTAAAACATTTCATCAATGGGAAATCTACAAAGCTAAAGGACTCTGAAGTTCCTTTATAGTTTACTGGTTATTATAACCTGCACCAATCTATGGGAAACACAATTGGGTCAATGTAAAGAATTAAACACAGTATCAGTGTGAAAAATAAAGATCAACCAACTATAAGGATAACATCAAAAATTATTTTTCATGAATTATAAGTCATTGATATAGTCACAAACAAGCTTTTTAAAAGTTTTTAATCATCCCCTTTAGTGTTCCCTTCCCCACATTTTTGGAACTCCCTTATATTTAAGTTCAGTGATGTTTGATAGCCCCCCCACCTTAAGTTCTCCAATTATCTCCAAATAAAGTATTACTTTGCAGTTTGAACTCTCCAAGAGTATCCCACACTGTGAAAAACAAATTTCTCCCATTCCTTCTCCAGATACTATAAAAAATTCCCCAGTTTTGATGTTGGGTGTTGAGTTCATTTACTATTACCTCATCCAAATTAAACTACTAAATAATAGAGAAATACATCTGTAAGTTTAACTCAATACTATAGGTTTAGTGTATCTGGGCAGTAAATTTAGGAAAAGTAATTGGAATTTTAACTTACTGCACCAGAAAGCCTTTGAGCTTCTTTTTTTGCGAGATCTCTACTAAGCAATTTGATGAGGTAGTCTGCACGTGTCTGCAACTGTTTTGCTTGTGGTTTCTTATCAGGATCATCAGGGAGAATCTGAAAAGTCATTTTTCCAGGTGATCTTTAATAATTATTTTTAAAACAGCCAAAAATGCTTAGCCACATACATGGATACATAATTCACTAACAAACAGCACTTTTAAAAAATTACAAAAGATGTTTAGGAAAATTCCTAGGGCACAATCACAAATTTACCTTTCTAAGAATGAATTCTAAATAATTTTTTTAAAATCTTTCTTCTCACTACCTTTCAATTACTCTCATATATGCAATCACTAACAGCATTCAGTGCTATTAAATGTTACAGTAAATTTGAATTATCTTCCTCCTTCCCTCCTGACGTAAATGCATATGAATTCTAAAAAACAAAAATCAGCTGTCAAGTCAATTTTGACTCATGGTCAAACTGTAAGTGTCCATAGAATTCTCAGTAGCTAAATTTCTAGAAACAGACGGCTAGGCAAGAGGACTTAAAAAATATAATTTGGGAAATAGAGTGATTCTTAGAAATGATTTAAATGCAAGCCCTTCATGAAAACCAGCTTCAAAAGAAGCCAAGCCAAGGTCACACAATTGCACACAGCTACACAGAGCCTTGGTGGCCTTACTTGTATTTTCCAACATAATTTAAAAGCAAACACTATGTTAAACACTTAGTGGTCAACAGAATTTTAAGAATAGAAAAAGTACCTTGTGCGTTAAACTGAGATCAGGATCCATTTTAATCATTTCCCAGCTTCCATATCCATATTCGTAGATACCAATTAACAAATTGGAATCATCTTCTTTGCCCCAGTCTATATCAAAATGAGCTGCTTTCGTGTGGCAAGTGATAGTATACCTATTTAAAGTTAACAACCATTAAATTTATAGTTCTTATTTTAAAAAATTAATGTTGAAAAACACATGAGTCATTAGACCTTTAAATTACTACACTGTACTTTGTGCATCTCAATATATTTGCTTCAGGGCCACAGAACCATAATCTCAAGGGACACCACTGCCAAAAGACAATGTTTTGCAAATCCTACTCTGGTGAGTAGCAGCAGCTGGGGGCTTTGAAGATTTTGAGTGGTCATCTAAAATGCAAGTATTGTCTGAAGCAAAGAAGAGTGAATAAAATAAGATGCAAGTAAACATGCTGTCCAAAGATCTAGTGGGTCACATGAAGCCCAGCCTTCACAATCCTTATGAATTAGGTGGTACCCAATTACTACTGCTCACCATTGTGTAAG